TACATAAGACTGCCATCAAACCTGACACAACACAGACCTAACACCCTAACCTGCCACAGGTAAAGCAGGGGAACCATTGCAGCCAATGTCCTGCTTCTATAACAGGCTGTCAATATATGCTCAAGAAATCTCAGGTAGAGGGCTGCACCCCCTACCACAGAGGACAGCAAAGTCCCCAGCCCTGGCTGTAGCCATCACCTAATGCCTCCGAGGGAGGCTTAAAAACACCCTGGCATGTAACATAGGCAACCAGCAAAGCCCAGAGCATGGGAAATATGTTAGCATAGCTATCCTTAGGTTATCCGTGATCAATGGCTATCCAACCTCTTCTTGAACACCTCCAGTGATGGAGAGTCCACAACTTCCCTAGGCAGTCTATTCTACTGCCTCGCTATTCTAACAGTGAAGAAGTTTTTCCTGATATGCAATCTAAATGTATCTTGCTGCAAATTCAAGCTGTTGGTTCACATCCTCCTCTCTGCAGCAATAAAGAAAAGGTGCTTTTCCTCTTATTTATTGGAGTACTTAAAATATTTGCAGACTGCTATCATGTCCACTCTTAAGTGCCTTTTCCACAAGCTGAACATGCCTTGCTCCTTCAGCCTCTCCTTGTATGACTTACTTTCCAAGCCCTTTATTATCTTTACTGCCTGCCTCTGGACCCTCTCTAACTTCACATGCTTTTTAAAATGTGGAGCTCGGAACTACACACAATACTCCAAATGAGGCCTAACCAGTTCCAAGTAGAGAGGTACTATCATAGAATCATAGAAAATTAGGGACCTCAGGAGGTCATCTAGTCCAACCCCCTGCTCAAAGCAGGACCATCCCCAACTAGATCATCCCAGCCAAGCCTTTGTCGAGTCGGGTCTTAAAACCTCCAAGAATGGAGGTTCCACAACCTCTCTGGGTAACATGTTACAGTGTTTTACTACCCTCCTAGTGAGAAAGTTCTTCCTAATATCCAACCTAAAATTTCCTTGATACAACTTGAGACCGTTGCTCCTTGTTCTGCTGTTTGCCACCACTGAGAACAGTCCAGCTCTATCCTCTTTGGAATCACCTTTCAGGTAGTTGAAGGCTGCTATTAAATCCCCTCTCAGTCTTTTCTTCTCTAAACTAAACTAGTCCAGTTCCCTCAGCCTCTCCTCAGAAGTCATGTGCTCCAGCCCCCAAACCATTTTTGTTGCCCTCCGCTGAACTCTCTCCAATTTGTCCACAATAATACTATAACCCCCATGTCTTGCCCCTAATGCTTCTATTGATGCATCCCAAAATTGTATTCACCTTGTGTGAGGCTGCATCACACTGCAGACTCATATTGAGTCTGTGATCTTTCAGGACTCCCAGATCCTTTTTTATAGTGCTGCCATCCAACCAGGTATCTGCCATTTTATATTTGTGCTTTTGATTATTCCTCCCAAGGTGTAGCACCTTGCATTTCCCCACATTGAACATCATCCTATTAGCTCTAGCCCAGCCCAGCTTTCCAATCTGTCAAGATCCTTCTGAATTGCACTTCAATGTGTTCACAATCCTTCCCAGTTTTGTGCCAGCCACAAACCTGCTCAAGAAGCTTTCTATACCAGCATCCAAATCATTAACAAACATATGGAACAGCACAGGGCCCAGGACAGACCCCTGTGGGACTCCACTCAAAACCTTCTGCAATTCTGATGTGGATCCATTAATAATTACCCTTTGCTTGTAGCTCTTGAGCCAGTTACCTGTTCACCTACAGTAGTTTTGTCCAGTCCACATTTCTTCAATTTGTTTATGAGAAGTTCATGTGGGACCTTGTCAAAAGCCTGGCTGAAGTCCAGATACACTATATCCACAGCATTCCCGTCATCCATCCAAGTAGTTACTTTGTCAAAATAGGAGTTCAGGTTTCATAGTTCATAGATGTTAGGGGCTGGAAGGGACGTTTGACATTATCTGTTTTTCATAAATCCATGCTGGCTGCTTGCAATCAGCTTTTTCTCCTCCAGATGCTTGCAAAGAGCTTTCCTTAGGATATGCACTAATAACTTCCCAGGTATTAAGGTAAGGCTAACTAATCTGTAGTTTCCCTATTTCTCCTTTTTTTAAAGAGGGACACTATGTTGGCCCTTTTCTAGTCCTTCGGTACCTGGCCTGTCTCCCACAACTTCTTGAAGATCATTGCCAAGGGCTCTGAGATCTCCTCTGCCAGTTCCTTCAAGACATGAAGTTCGTCTGACCTTGCTGACTTGAATTCATTCAGACCCATCAAAAGCTCTCTGACCATGTATTTTGTTGTCTCATCCCTCAGCCTGCCCCCTTCTGTATCCAAATAATCCATATTAGGTGTCTGGCTGCAGCTTAATTTTTTTGTGAAATCTGAGGCAAAGTAGCTACTGAGTAGCTCTGCCTTCTTTGCATCTTCTCTTAAGAGCTGCCCCTGGCTTGTTAACAGTGGACCCACAGTTTTCTTGGTCCTACTTTTCTGGCCAACTTACTTATAGAACCTCTTCTTGTTGTTCTTAATTTCCTTTGCCAGGTGCAGCTCATTCTTTATCTTTGCCTTCCTGATTTTGTCCCTGCAGGTTCTGACTATTTCCTCGTATGCGTCCTTGCTGACCTGCCCATTCTTCCATCATATGCCCAATTCCTTTGCAAGCAAAATCCCAGCACATCTGCCTCAGTTCTTCTCCTCTGCCCACTCACACACTCCCTACCATCCCTGCAAGAACTCCTCCTATATTGGCTCTCACAACAGTTTCATCAGGATGGGACAGATGGTTCTTGGGGTCTCAGGCAAACTCTGACCACCAAGTAGTAGACATGCTGGAACAGGGCAGAGGTTAGGCAGCTAGAAGCATCTGACAGGATAGCCTTGCAGTTGGAGGGGTCTAAACACTGTCAGGAAGGGAGAAGTAGAGGGCTATTTCAGAAGCTGGTGGGGGCACTGGCAGCTGTCATCAGTCAGTATGAAAGAGCAGGACTGGCAAGTTTCTATGGAAGGTTCACAGCAAGGCAGCTTTTAAGGGAGGTTAGAGGTATTTGTAGAGAGAAACTGGTAATAAAACAGTACACCAAAAAGATAGGCCTTTATGCACATGTCCCTGTAGCACACACTGTATTGGGCTCTTCCTGCACTACTCAGAGCTTTAAACCATGTGTATTACCCAGTGACCTTAATCACCATATAGTATAAGCTCAACATGAAAGCAATGAAAGCATGATAGCATATCTACAGTGCCTTCAAAACAGGGAATAAATTCAGCCTCACAAAGCCCCAAAGAGGTGTTAATATTTCCATTTCATAAATGGGGAAACAAAGGCATGGAGAGGACATGTGACTTTCCCAAGGTCACATAGGAATCCACAGCAGAGCCAAAAAGAGACTCCTGAGAGGAAAGATGGTCCAGGGGTTTGGAATATTAGTTTACTGTTTGAGAAACCTGGGTTCAACTTATGTGACTTGGAGCAAGTCATTTCTCATCCGTATGCCTCATTTTTCCCAATCAACTTCTCAGAGCCCTTGTGAGAATAAAACTATTATAGACCATTAGATCTGAAGAGGATAGTGAGGCAGAAATCTCCAAGAGCACCATCCTGCTCTTTGTCTTCCCCATGAGAACATCCCTTTCTCTGGAAAGACAAGCTACCAAACACCATTTAGTAGCCAGACATGCATTGGTTTCTTTCGTGAACCTGCACTTCCAGATTCCAGGGCCACCTACACTGAACTTGTAGGGTCTGGTGAGAAGAGAAAGCAAAAGGAGCATGGGAGTTGCCTGGTGAAAGACTCTCAGAGAAATGGCACTGGAGTCTCACTGGAAATTTTTCTTCAAAACCCTAGGACTACACTTTTTTGGAACAGAAGCACAGATTTGGCAAAAATGAAAATGTAGGTTCCCATCCCACTCATTTTGACAAACAATGCTAGCACTTAGTGCACAAGTGGATTTTTTCAAGCTGTTAATACATCTTGATCTTTAATTAATACAATGGCATAGATGTGAGAATACAGAAAACATTATAATATGTTACATATGCAATTGCATAACATAGGTCTACATGAAATTACAGCAGCATTGCAGAGGAGTCCAGTAATTGTGTATGCAAATAACCAGAACTGGAAATTGGCATGCACAATCAGGATAACTGAACACATAAATGAGGCATGAAATTGCACTTGCATTTTGCGCACACAAAGATATGGCTAACTGTGTGGAATTCTTTCCCCTTCACCTTGCCGACAGATTTCAAAGTGAAGTAATTAAGGAGGCATTGCTCTCTTAGACCTGAAAGTAAAGGGGAACTAGAATAGAATTAAAAGAAAATAGGTCATGAAAGCTTATTTACTTGTTAGAATATAATCAAGGGGATGAAAAAATGTAAACTGCAATTGCAAGCTGGCTTTCAGCCTTCAGAGTCAGTAGACCTGACTAGGAGTATTAAATAACAGTCCGTGCCTTGAGATAGCCTGCCTGATACACCAAATTGAACATCTCACTACTTCATTTGTTGGGAATGAGAGCTGGTCACATGAACCACTGTACTGAGCCAAACTAATTCCTGACGTAAGTCCACTGAAGTCAATAGCAATTCACTACGGAAGAGCCTGCCCTGTGGTCCTTGTCTCTATACCACTAGGTTGCAGGTAGGAATTTGCTGCTAGGAATTTTTTCTTTTTTCTTTTTTCTTCTTTAGCTGTTGAGAGGGCTCAGTCAGGATGGAGAAATTTAGTTTGGGATTGCAAGAAAAATATACAACTTTGATTGTCCAGGAAGAAGCTATTCATTTAAAAAGCTGTAAAGGGCTTTGTCAAAAATAAAAAGAACAGCAGCTAATTTCATTAAAACCAAGCATTTGATAGGAACAATCCACAGCTTTCTGCAAATATCTATCTGCCTTTGCAGCTGTTACTGCATTTCCAGAACCGATTTACCGTTTGTGATTACAGAGAGAGTCTGACAAATTGAAATGAGAAACTAGGCAGAGGACAATCAAGATGAGGACATGAGATTTCAGCCTTACAAAACACCAGAGATAACTATGAATTAAAAAAAAAAGGTGTTGTAGTATTCCAGTCAATCAGTGCAAGGGACAAGGAGAGATGGGAGGCTACATGGATTGATGAATAATGGAAGGGAAACTTAGGAGGCTGTGGAGAGTCATGGGAGAAAAAGAGGGACAGTACCAAATTGAGAAAGGACATTTCCTGACAGCTGCTTAGATCCCAGGTTCACTGTCTTATATATATTCAAAACCAAGCAGTCCAACTAGTGACCCATGGGCCACATGCAGCCCAGGAAATGTTTTGCTGAGGCCCCTCGGCTCCAGTGCAGCTCCTGCTCCCCTCATTGATCAAGCTGTAACAGGAACCAGAATCTCCATTTTCCACCTCCAGCTTCTGCCTTCTGCACCTCCCCCAGGGGACGAGGTGGTGCAGTGCAGTGCTGGGAGTTGAGGGTGAAGCTGCAGCCATGCAAGTATGCAGCATAGCAGTGGGGGAGAGGGGTACCTGCAAAGGCAGGGGTGTGTAGGGAGTGCCTACACAGGCATAGTACAGCAGGGTAGGGGCATCCATATGGGGTGCACCCCAGGACCCATGTCCCACACTGGTGCAGCCCCATGACATGCGGCCCTAGATTGCTTAAAAGTTGTGTAGCCTTGGTTTAGAAGACAATGAGAAAGGAAAGTAGACTAAGCTAGATCTGGTCTGGTATACTTTTGGAAAACAAATAGAACATAACTGTATCTTGACTGACCCCAAATCATTCCCCAGGATTTGGCCCAATTCAAGGTATAGCTAAGCCTTGTCTATGCAAGAAGTCCTAGCCATCCTTTACCTTACCTAGGGAGTCACACTTACACCAAGGGAGGGATCACTGGGGTGGGTGTGTCTGGGCCGTATCTAGCCAAGTTCTTTCAAACACAGGTTGGGGATAGAGCAATGGGAGGCAACCTTTTTGGAAGATGTGCCAAAAATTATCTCTGCATCCTCCCCAAGTGCCACTCTGATCCTCTTCCCCTGCCCGACTGGCTGCTCTGATGTTTCCTGCCCTGTGCTCCCAGCCCAATCTGCTTCTCTGTTTTCTGGTCCCTGCCCTATCTGCCACTGTGCTATTTACCCTCCCCTTGGTCTGCCCCTTGCCACACATGGAGGCTACCCATGCCAGTTGTGGCAAACAGGCTGCAGGTTGGCCACCCACAAGTTAGAGGGGACCTGCCTTTTATAGGCAAGGGCTGTAGAAGCTCTGCCCCCAGTAGATGCAGTTTGCCTGTGCTCTGAGTGGTTCCTTCTCCTGATGAATGAAATCCCCAGTGCCCATAGAAATGCCACCCCTGAGAGGGTGGGACCCACACAGGCCCTGCCCAGACAGGGCAGGGTGCCAGATAGGCCCTGCCCCATGAAGTGATCAGGCATGAAAGGTGCCCCAAGGCTTTTAAGCCTTGTGTGGGTTGTGGGGAAGGAGGCAGAAGTCCCCTGGCAGCCTCTGAAGATCAGTGATGGTGCCCGGCTACCCCAGCATCAGGAGGAGCACCAAGTCCTCCTCAAGGGAGAGCTGTGATGGGCCAGGATGGAGCGGGGAAGCCGGTTCACAGTGACTGGGGAATTTGGATTCGTTGTGACAGGAGCCGAGCCCGGGGGCAGAGGAGGCAGCAACACAGTGTCTGGGGGGTGGAAAGAAATGGGGCAGGGAGGACGGATGGATGGAGGCAGCAACCAGAGGGCATGAAGGGAGCCGAGAAAGGGCCCGAGGGGGGCAGCAGTGAGCGGGTGCAGGGCAGAGACCCTTGGCCGGAGGCTGCCAGCGGGGACAGACGGGGCGAGGACCGGGAGGAGGGAGGCGCGCGGGCGAGAGGGGGAAGAGCCACGGGGGCAGCAGGGCCGGGGCCGGCTGGACGCGGCGGTGCGGGGATGGGGACGGGGATGGGGATGCTGCGGCGAGGCCGGGCCGCGGCCG